GGGAAAACCAGAGAATTATGTGGACATACCTGCTGTTACGAATATCTGGGCAGAAAACTGCAGTGCTGCCCCACATTTTCTTGCTATTTAGAGACTGTCTTACCTTGGACTTCATAACCCTCTCTGCATCTCAGTGTGCTGTTAGGAGAACAATATTGTTCCACAGCTGCTTATGCCACAGAATTAGCTGCATTCTTTACAGGAAATATGGTTTCAGTTTGAAAAACATTAGCAAAGCCCAAACAAAACAATGGCAGCTCCTGTGAGTAAATGTAATAAACCAGGTTGTGCTTTATTCCCTTGTCATTTCTGTGTTTCCCTACTTATTTCTTAAGCCCTGAGACTGTGGCTAGTACAAGCAGAATGGGATGATGGTTCTGATGTGTTTTGTTTGTAGTCTCAGCCTATATTCTCATAAACTGGGGAGTGCATCCCTGCAGTCTTCTGATCTCTGAAAGTAAATTAAGTGTATGCAGATGCACCCAGCTCCTTGCAGGCTAAACCCTTTGGACTGTAATCAGCAAGATGCTGGATGGTGCAGCCCTGAGGTATGAACTAATATGAGTATGCATGACGGAAGCTGTCTATGAGTCAAAAATAGATTATGGCAGCCAGACAATGGGAGCAGCTAATAATATTTTGGGGTTAAGTAGTAATAGGCAATTACAGCATATTTGTTGTATTAATATTAGAGAAGATGTTTTAATGTAGGGTTGGGTACCACTGTCATCCTGGTACAAACAGAATTTTCTCAGAGGATATTCTATAAATACTGTAATGCTACCCATACCCTTCTAACAAATGCCACTTTAAGGAGATTTTGTAAATGCTCAGAAACTATGCGCTTGCCAAAGTGCAACAATCCCTGAGCACATTCAACTGAGAGATTTCTGCTTAGAAACCCTTTCTTTTTCTTTACTGAGGGCCTAAGCTTGCACCCAGAAAGGAACTGTCACAGCACTCTGTCTGAACAGCTTAAGAGAATCCATCATTAAGGTTGGAAAAGACCTCCAAGATCAAGTCCAGCTTTCACATCAGAAGGGAGCTGTTGCACGCTATCCTAACAACTAGATGTTTCTGCTACCTCACTTCACCCCCTGTGTTGTTTGCTTTTGTATTGTTGTTCCAGAGGCAGGAGACTGTAGAGATTGTGTAAGTGCTCTCTCCTAACCCAGCCATCATGATGATGAGGCAATACGGGGTCATGCACAGGAGAAAGGCAAGATGTACCTTTGCAAAGAGTTGGGTGGTGCTAATGAAGGGCCTGCATTGCAGTATTCTCACATGCAAAATTTCTGCCCATAGCAAAAGTTTGGCTGCATATGTTGCCTTTGGTACTTAATGTTAGGTTGATGCGTCTAGTTAGCTGAATTAGAATCCATCCTGGAGCTTTGAAAAGCGGGAAAGTTACATCTTCTGGTTTCTTGACTGCTACTAGCTTAGCAATAAATTCCAATAGGACACTGCTCTGAACATGACGGATTTTTTTTAAACAAAGAATTCGTCTCATAGATTGGCAGACAACATGTCAGATAGCTGTCACATTTCCCTCATTTGAGTGAACAAAATGGCTGGATAATACCTTGGATAATAAACGCAATGCAGTGCTTAGCATTGATAAAACATACCAGGTTAACTCTTCCCCTTAAGGACTGCAACATTTCAGGTATATCTGCACTATCAAATACTTATCAGGTCCTGATAAGTATTATCAGGGACCATACGAGGGAAATTACTGTTGATGCCGCGGCTCCCAATAGGTATTAAGCAAATACTTCTGTCTAAAACAAGCTCAGATATCATCAGGATAATAGTTTTCTCAAGGGATAATTTGTTCCCAAGATACATGGATGAGGCTGCACCAGGATTCACACTGCATAACTTGGCACTGGTGACCCTGCATTCTAGTAGATGTATTTACCAGTGCAGAAACAGCACCCAAGCCTGTTATGCAGGCCCTCCATGAATGCAGGTAATCGTCAAAAATTCTGGAATATTGTGGCTGTCAGCTTCTGGATGTTAGGACTTTGCATGCAGTAATGAATTGAGAATCTCAGTATTTTCTTAAGAGCTGGTGAAAAATAGCTCTCTGGCATCCAGCTGGACTAATATGAAAAACACTTTAGACTTGATCCATCTTTGTACCTGTCAAAGAGCAAGGAGTTTTAAGCAAAGTGTTAACTACCTCCAACACAAAAAAGTTGAAAATGCTGATTGCTTTCAAGGGCTGTGTATTTCAAAATGTTTCATATTTTCTTCCCAGGGGACAGATCTAAAAGGTGGACAGAGTACTCAAGAGCTGGAAAACAATTATATATTATACAAGACGTTTAAAGCAGCTTCAAGGCCATTTAGCCAATGTCTTTTATTATCCTTTTTTTTTTTGAAGGTTGTTGTTGAGAGGCTAAAATCTCAATCTGAAGAACAACTGGCTCCTTTGCTTGCTTCATACCAGAGATCTAGCAGGCTGTTGTGCTTCCTCTCCTTTCCTTGCAGCTACTAATTTTCTAATTAAGTCTCTGTGCCTGCCCCCATTAAATCAATCAGAACTGATTCAGTCGCCACTGATTGCAGTGGGAACAGGCACAGGCTTTAAGGCCCAGATTTGCAGAAAAGCTCAGCATCTATAATTGGGGCCAGGTTTCCAAAGGAAGTGGCAACTGTGTGTGAGCCACTGTTGCTGTGTGAGTCACTCCCAACCCTGCATTTGCCATGCTGGCCTCAGCTTTGGAGGCAGAACACTTGAAAACTTCTGCTTTAGAAACCAGCATTGCCCCAGTCAGTGTAATGGCAATTAAGAGCAGTTGGCAACTTGCAGAGAGGCATTCAACACTTATGCTGTTACTTGGATGAAGCAGAGTTTGGTGAGTGGTTGAAGAGGAACATTCAGGCCCTGAGGTCTCAGGGACGTATCTGAAGTTTTTATGGTGGTAGCAGGGTGGGAGAAGAAAAAGCTGCTTTTTCTGAATGCAGGGAGGAGTTGAAGTTCTGGCCTGTGCGGTGTTTTTGTGTACAATAGGGTGCTTTCTTTGTTACTACCCTAGTCATCACCAAGATTGCCAGCTGCTGTCATCAAGTGTTGTTTCCAGTGAAGACTTGGGCTTTCCCCAGACCAATAGCCTTTTGTTACCGAGAAACAAATGTGGCAGTATATCATCAGCTTAATCACTCCTTTTTGCTCAGGGGCCAGTAAAAGGAATCTCATACTGTGCCTTATCAGAAGTATAGGTTTGCTTTATGCCCTGGTCTCTGAGAGCCTGCAGGGTTTCCCGGGGTCAGGTATGTCCTGCCAAGGAGAGGGGCTGCTGAGTGTCCTCTGAAAGTCAAAAAGAGTTGGCTGGGAAAAGCAGCTAAACCTGCTGCTAACCTAATTAATCTCCTATGTATCAAATAGTTTATGCATGTTTAAATAGGTAATTTTTCTAAAAATAATATGAGCTTTGTAGTTGATATACATCCTAGAAAATATTTTTTTTCATCAGTAATGGATAATTTTATTATTCCCATGACTGAAAAATTCTTTGTCCTTACAGTAGGCAACGTACTTGAATGCATATGTGTTTGTTGCTAGGCTGTGAGAGTGATTTTTTTCAGCTACCTTTTTTTTTCTAACTGCTCTTCTAGTAGAACTCACTGCCCTTACTACCACCTGTTGGATAGGAATGTTCATGGGCTTATTGACTCAGGTGAGTTCTGCTATGCTCCATTCTTTTATTTCTTATTTTTCTGCAAATCTTGCTGCTTATTAGCACTGATTATTCTAGAGCAACTGTTACCAATTTGCAGATGTTATCTAATAGTATATATCCTCTAAGAGGTATTGACAAGCAGGGCAATAGTCATACTTGGGCTGATGTGGTGGTTGTATGTTGTGTTCAGATGCAAAAGGAATAGACTGAAGTTTTGTGTCTCCAGGCAGTCCACATACTGTTATAACAGAACCCACAATGATATGTGAAACTTACCCATGCAAAACTGTGGAGCCAAACCCTCATATGTGAAAAAAGCACCACACTTGTTTAGTAAAAGTCTTATTTCACCTGTTTTACAGGACAATTTTTTTTTTTAAGTCCAGTAAAAATACTGAGGCAACTCTTTTTCTGATATATTCTGAAAATAAATGGTATTTATGAACTAGCATTGTGAAATTCATGCAGAAGTACAATAGTGATACAAAAAGCAAAAGTAAGCAATGATAATAAAATGTTGTCTACAGCAACTTGTGAAGAAGTGTGCATAGTGGATTTTTTTCTCCACCGTTTGCACCCTGTATATTCATTTTATATTGGTACTGAAAGGTTGTTTGATTGTTGTGGTTTTTTTTCAAAGGACTGAGAATTAAATCCATAGGATATCATAGGAATGCCCTGGGTTGGAAGGGACCTTAAAGATCATATAGTTTCAGTCCTGTTGTGGAGAGGGTCACCTTTCACTAGACCAGGTTGCTCAGAACTCCATCTAAGCTGTCCTTAAACACTTCCAGGGAATGGGGCATCCACAACTTCTCTGGGCAACCTGTTCCAGTGCCTCACCACCCTCACAGTAAAGAATTTCTTCATAATATCTAATCTAAACCTACTCTCTTTCAGTTTAAGTACATTCCCCCTTGTCCTGTCACTACATGCTCTTGTAAAAAGTCCCTCTTCATGTTTCTTGCACTCCCTTCAGTATGCAGTTACCTAACTCATCTGGACATCAAGAGGACCTTGTTAAAAGAAAACTTTCATGTATGTTGACGTACAGGCCCACAGTTTGCATCTCAGAGAACCTCTCTCATTTGAGCTGCTGTACTGCAGCATGGGGAAAGGTATCACAAGTTATTCCTTTGCCTGAGTGCTAATAATCATACAGAAGAGTCAGTATGGCTTAGATTCAAATCTGTAGGCGAAATCAGTCTCTGATATAACTATTCATCTCAGTGAAATTGCAGCAGGGTTGATTATAATTAGCATGACTGGTAAACGTGGAGTACCTTAATTTTAAACTGCAGTCACATAGGCTCATGCACTTACACTTATATTTATTCAAATAAGACATTTGGTAGAAATTCAGTATTACAAATACATATACATGATTTCTCAGAGTTTCATACAACTTATTCAGAGACCTTGCAATATGATATTGTTCTTTTTAGTAGTTTCCTTCTACTTTTTTCTTGTACTATGCAATATTAGATGGCACTTGTCAGCCTTTTTTATTTTCCCTCAGTATTGTACTGCCTGAAAATGTCTTCTGTTTCCTCCCGTGGCTAACACCTGTGGGACTTTCATCTGCTCCAATAGTAAACAGGAACCTGAAGAAACTTATGCCAACAAGCAATAGTTTAACATTGCAGTCCTGATATAACAATCCTTTCTATATTGTATATAGAACATACATGACTCCTTATTGTGATGCAAGGTCCCTATCATCTAAAATATGGAGAAGATGAATACTCAGAGATAAGATCAAATTACAGAAACTGATCTGGTTTAGAATGTTGTACAATATATATACTAGTTATCAGCACTTTAATCTTCATAGCCCTTTGCCTCTAAAGTCAAAGCATTTAGGCTCTTTTACACCAACTGTTCACATTTCAGGATCTGAGACATTCAAAACAGCTCTTGGCACAACCCAGAATAGCTTCTGCTTCTTTACTTTTTTCCTGCACAGTCACCTTTTAAAGTTTGATGTCTTGGGACCTCATGAAGCTCAGAGCAAGTACTGAATGAGAGATATCGTCATCTCTGACAGCACAACATTCCTATTTCTGCTCCTGAAGAGATGATGTCTTGATATGCCTGATGCTTTTCTTTTCTCTCTTCTTTGGGTCAGCAGGTAGAAGCCGTCTGTGTTTGACATTTGGGATGAAGGAACACAAAACATTGCTTGTCTGTCTGCAGCTTCTAAAATAGCTGTGGGAAGCTGCTCTCTTAGAGCTTTGGAATATTATGCTCATGGTTAAAGAAGGTGGAGTAGTGGGAGAACAAATATACTGTGGGCAATAAACTGTCATAAGTGCAATTTATTTAATGACTGCTATGATTGCATTTATGATATGCATAGAGTCAGTGTGTGCATACAGAATCGTCTTTGTATCTTTACATTATTAGATTTCTGTAGTACTCATGACTAGTGGTGAGCAGGCTATCTAATCCATTGGAATAATGTATATTTTTCCCTTTAAATGCTGGAAATAAACCTTTCTTTTTCTCAAGAAGAGGAGATGATTTAACTGAAACAGTTACAACTGGTTTCCTGCATCCTAGTTAACATCCTGAGTTCATAATTATTAGCTTAAGGGTGTATTTTGTTCAATTTTCATAAGGAATTTGTATTAATGTGGGGAAAAAAAAGAATGCTTTCAATTTGTAATTTTAGTCTAGTGGCAAAATACTAAACATTTTAAGGTGTAGACTGTATTTTCAGCTACTTGACCTTTGGGCCACAGCTGAGCAGCCATGCCTACTTTTCCAGGGACTGAGCATATGTCTGTGACACCATCACTTTGTGCCAATTTAAAAAGCTGGTGCTTGCAAGTTAAGGTGCTGTGGCCCATGCACATGTCCCTGGCTTACCCCAAAGTGAGATCAAGTGCCTTCAGCTAAACTAATAGGTTTAGGTTGCCATTGTGTCAAGTCAACAGAAACTATGCCGCTGATGGTGTGTCAGGAGAGCGCTAACTTAGTAAGTCACTGTAACTCAGTTGTATGTAATCACGTGCCCAAAACGAGGTATCCCTGCTCCACACCTGCATGATTCCAATCTGTTGAAGGAGGCGTTAGCAATGAAAGTGCAGAAGGCATGCTTATATCGCCTGGGTACAGAACTGATGGCTCCAGCAGTTTTGGAGGTGTTGATGTTCACACTTGCATGTGCCATACCTTATTGATGTACACAAGGTAAAGGTAAATATCAATGCAGAATTTTTCTGTCTTGGTCCTAGCGAAGTTTTTTGTTTACTTTGTATAACTTCAAAGTATTTCACAAATGCCTTTTGCCTTGTCAATACCTCCTCTATAATTTTGCATTTGTACTGATGAGGTACTGAACACTAGGATTTGGCAGCACTTTTCCAAGACGTGAATGGATGCACTGGGTTCTCTTATCTAAAGAATTAATCCTCCATGTCAGACTCCACATAGAGAATCAGTCAGTCTTAGCCTCTCATGAACGAGACATAGGCCTCAGGCTTACCATTGTGTGGCTGAAGTTTGGTAAATCATTGCACATGTGCTGAGCTGCTGTAACTATGCTCACACAGGAACACAGCAAACACAAGGCAATGTGACTTAGCTTATGTCTCTTCTCCGAGCTGAACTAAACTGATCTCATATTTGCTCAGCTAGGAGCACATCATCATTTTCTATGGAGTTACTGGATGCACAGTGACATGGGAATCAATTCAGACTTAAATCAGGAGTATTAGCTCTTAATTCCTTGTAATTAAGAATAATTCTAGCAGCATTTTTCAAGAACAAGGAAGTATGTACTGGAGTCCTGTGGGTGGAGTTACTTTCTTTTAAAATTTATTTTCCATTATCAACTGAGTGGTTTTATGCCTGTTCCAAGCTTCTGGATAAAGTTTATGTGTAATGGTGAACAGCTGCTTTGCTGCATTTGAGTGATGGATGGAGTTATGCCTGCTGATACGCAATCTCTTAATCACTTTGGTATCTTAATGAGTGAAAGATGCTCTCTACTGAAGGTAAAATCCCTTAGATCAGTTCAGAACTGAAGGCTGAAATCCAGGAGCTCAGTGCTGAGCCAGTGAAGTTTTTGGAGTGGAAAAGAGTTATAGCATTTCACCATTGGTAGCAGTTATGTTTTAGAAAAGTAAGGTACCATTAGAGAGGCAGTGGAGAGCGTGTGGTGGAGCACCTCTTTGGGAAACAGAGCCAGTGATTTCTTCCAGATCCAGTCTGAGGCTCTTGAATAAAAGTAAAGTTTTCCATTGGTCATATTTCCCTACATACAGCTGTGAATGGCCTAAGTCAGCTGGCAGTGTTAGTAATTCCTGTTCCATCAGTTTCTGAACAGGGGCAACCTGACTGTGACTTCTCCTGAGGGGGAAGCAGAGCAGGGAAATGCTACACTAATGCTGCCCTCATGTCAGATTATTTCACCCTTTATCCTACCTTCTTTCTAAGATTAGTTTTCCAGAAATGAACACTTCTTAAAGACAGAGCCTGAATTAAAATCCTTAGGGACCAAATGCAGCCTTAGTTACCTATACAATAGCTCATGAGATAAACATTCATGGTAGAAGACAGGTGGTTCCCACAGATGTTACACTGTGTTCAGCCTCAGTCCCAGGAAGGATGGTTGAGCAGACCCTATTAATCTGTGGCATATTGTTGAGTTCTTTTATAGATCTCACCTGTCCACAGGCATTGTACAACCCTTTTAGGTTTCTCTAAAACATAGGCTTCAGCTGTGTGGGTTTTAACAGAAAAAATTCACAAAGCACACATCCACTTCCTGTGCTGGGGGCCACCCTTGTCCTTATCTAGAGGGGAGCCATTCCATTTTGACCATATTAACAGAAATGCATAAATGCAAAAGCAGAAAGAGCACTTTTACACTGCATTCTTCAACACATGAAAATCAGTCTACCAGAACCAGTTCTGGGCTTGTTCCATTGCATGTCACAAAGCAGTTGTGTCTCTGCATGCTGATGCTTTTAAAGCTGGACGCTGCTGCTGACTCAAAAGCTGCTTGTGTTACATCTGTCCACTGAAGTATAGATTTCCATATGTACAGCGCCCAGGTGAACAAATCAAATGCATGGTCCCGGCACAACCCAGAGACCTGCTGTAGTGAACACATCCACCTGAAATTCCAACATCCCTGCCAATGTCTTACTGTTGTTTTTTATATTTAAAATACCAAGGTAACATCACGTATTTTTCTATGGAATTGATCACAATGGTGTGACAGTCACCTCGGTGTGATACTGACAAATTACTTCTATAGAAAATGTATGAGGAAGAGTCTCCTCAGATTGGGAAATGCTGAGCCCTGGTTGAAGCACCGATCTGACATTCAGTAGCTCAGTTCCATGTTCTGCCAAAGACTTGCAAAGCAGCCTTGGCTCAGTTTGGATGTATTGGATGTATGTGGATATATTCATAGTGCCTGTTTTAGCCACAAAGTTAGATATAGACATTTTTTGGTCTAGGATTAGAAGAGACCTGAGGGCCATATTCAGGCTGCCTTTTATACACATTCGTGTTGCTATCATAGCTACTTACTACTACAGACTGGTCTGACTGTGTCCTGAATTGCTCTCCAGCAAGCAGCTAACTTACTGTCAAAGTCCATGAACCATGCAAAGTGGCCTGAATACAGCTCTTTGTCTCCTTGTCTCACTCCCTCATCTGTAATGCGGGGACAGAGCAAACTTCAGCAAGGTTATGGAGATGTTCATACCCCAGTGAAGAAGACAATATGGCTACTTTTACAGGCAAAAATGTACTATGCTGTACTGTGCTATACACAACATAAGGAGACCTGGTTTTAGAGGAGTTTGCCATCTGCAGGAGCTTGATCCAGACAGAACATCCAAGAGTTAAAAAAGGGATGTAAAAGTTAGCAAGAGTGCACCCTGGCATCTGTAGCAGCAATTTTACATAGACTATGCTATATTCCAGCATAGCTATTTCCAGATGGCATTGTATTTTACATTTTCCTCTTGCAGTTGACTGCTATCATACATACATATAGTACAACAAAGATGTACATACAGGTATATTATTGCCTGTTCTTTGTTGTACGCTCTTGCCCAAACATCTGGGGCTTTATTTATGTGACATTTAGTCTTCCTCAGAAGAGAATCTTTGCCTGGAAAAACAGTATATGCAGCAGCTACAAAAGATAAGGAGAAACAGAACAGTATGGCTGATAATGAGAACACCGACAGCAAAAATGTACAGGGTTTTGTCACAGTAATCCTGAGGCTGATGAAAAGGCGGAATGAAATTTGGCAGGTACACAGAAAAAACCCAGTAGTTCCCAAGAATGAACCAGAGAAAGAGGAAAAGGCTGAGGGTTAGATGGATGTAGTACTTGTGAGCATTCTGCCTCCAGGGATATTCGTCGTCATCATCATCATCAATCACAACAGACTTGGAAAGCAGCTGCCTCATCCTGGTTGAGTCATACAGCAGGAGAGTCACCTGGAGGTATTGGGGGAGAAAAGGGAATAGGTAAATTGGCTGCAAAAAGTCTGAATGCCTTCTGGCCACTGCCAGTCTTTGTGCCAAATAAAATTCAGTGTGGGAAAATCATGTAAGAGAAAGCTAAGGAGCCACAAATGAGGCAGATCCCGCTGGACAATAATGCATTTTTTTCCCTATGGTTTATTCACCAGTGAGATTTAGGCAAGACATTGGAAAAAAATTGCCAGTGGTAAGGATGGAAAGGCTTGAGAACAGATTGTGTAGGGAGATGGCAGCAGCTCCCACGCTGGAGACTTTTGAGAACAGATTAGAGTAACTGCTAAATAACTTAAGTAGTGTAGTTCCTGCCTTGTAGTGGGTGGATTTATCTCTCCCGACTCTGTTTTCTGTGGCTATATAGGTGAATTATGAAGCATCTAGATTGCGACCTAAACCCCAAATGAATTGCTTCAGATACTTGCAGTGTACTACTGTCAAGTTTTCTTCAATTAAGTGTCATTTTCTCAGATTGCTCCATTTCTGCCTTCAGTCAGAACTAACAGAGAAATAGGTGGAATACCACAATGCTGTGTGGTTAGGAAGGTCTGGTATACAGAGACATGCAGTAGGACTCATCAGCAATGCTTGAATTTCTAGTTTAGGCTTGGCAATACGAAGAACATAGGTAGATTACAGTGTAGAGAAGCTTTCAAATTCTTGTTCCCTCAATGACCTTCCTAATTTTGGTAGATTTATAGGATAGGTATATACAGATCCCAACAAGGATTTGGGCCAAATGTGAAACTTGTGTTATCTTCCTATACCTGAAATGCTTGGCCCAGTCCTCAAGGCACAAGCTGTTTTAATTGCAACTCCCCTTTCTAGGTACTCAGGTTCCTGTGCAAATCTGCTTGCAGTGAGCTGTGTCTTTGGGAAAAGGACTCTCAGAAACTAGCTGAGCAGGAAGCTGCCTTGGCCAACCAGGAATGAAATTTAGAGGTAAAGGTAAAAGATGTGGCTATGGGGAGGGATGTACTGTCCAAACAGGGGTTCTCAGCCATGCTGTCTTTTACAGAATTATGATCTGTGCTCATTTTTCTGATTGAAATTAAAGAGAAGAGCACCCCTCATTTAACACTCTCCCTTCTCCAAAACACTGGCCAAGGGAAACCGTTTTAGGTATATGTTCTGTCTGGTTCAGATTTTAGTCCACATGCCCCATTTTCAAGAGGCAAGGCTTAGCAAGAGAATCCAGGACATCCTGGGAAGAGTTTTCTCTTACCCTGTAAAACTGTTTGATTATTTATAAATGATTAAATATTTGTCACAAAACCGTTTTTTCTAGCCTGGATGTTGCTACTATGTGAGAAACACAGATTAAAATCCCAGCACCAACACAGGCAAAAAAATAAAAGGTGTTTCCACTGGTTGTGGAAACTGTTCCAGCTGAGCCCTCAAACTGATAGACTTGTTCAAACCAGCAGAGCATCTTCTTCTCAGGTGAACATTTATTTTATGCATGCTCATGACGCACAGGAGGAGGGATAAATCTACTTGGCCAGTAGGTCTGCGGTTTCTGCATGGGGGGACCTGTAGGTCAACCTGAAACCCCATGGAGCTCATTAGCTTTGAGGTGAGCTCAGCACATAGATAGGTGCCTGTACTCAAGTTTCACCAAGCTCAGCAATGGGAATGGGATTAAATGGCAGATGAGTATTCATTTTGAGGAAGTCAGAGAAACGTCCCGTGTAGATTTATGGATCTCAACTGCATCTAACCAGTTCACAGAAAGCACATTTAATTCTTATGGATATTGCCTTGCCAAGCTGTGATTGACGCCATTTCTGTCAGTTGCTCACATTGTTACTAACTGCTGAATATAATTTATGGAACAGCATGACATGAATTCAGCAGGCCTCTCTGGATGCTGTAGAATGATGTCCAACACACGACAGCATTCATTCAGACTTCATCCTACACCCATTCTCTGACCTTTTAACCCCCAGAGGTCAAGTGAATGTATTGCTCTGTGAAGTCGGTGCAGTCCAATGGACATAACAGAGGGCAGAGTTGAGACGGGAATTTGGCTACAGACCAAGCACTATGAGATGACACAGGAGTTAGGCCAGTCAAGTTCTGACCAAATTTATTGCCAGAATTCAAAATAAGAAGTCCTTTTGTCAACTGAAGCAAAGTTCAAACCATTATTTGACTTCAGCATGAATATTAACTAACCCATTTACCACCTTACTTAGAGTGAGAAAAACTGTCTTTAAACAAGAAATAGCTAAGAAACAGTCAACATTTTTTATGGAGGTTTCAATTCATTAGCATCAAAATTTCCTTTCAGTTCTGCTGTAATCTTTTCTAAACTATTGTTAAATGAACCTTTGATTATATAGATAAATTCACTGGTGTGATCAAATGACTAAGCATTTGTAAGCAGAAGTCACTTGTGACATTCTTTGTTACAAGATTAAGCACTTTCTTTTTTTCTCCATTTACTAATTTACTGACCAAAGGTCCTTGTGGGAATGATTCATATCCCAGTGAGGTACTGTGGTTTGGTTACCACTGTGAAAGAGTGCACGGAATGCAGAGACCTGCAGAGGAATATTCTTTCCCCGTTCTTTCAATCCTGACAGAGAAAAGAGGCTAGAAATGTTATCAAAGGGGAATGTAGATAGCTCTTGTCTTCAGTATCTGCTGGCTGCAAGATGCAGTGCTGTCAAGTCAAAGACTGGTAGATTCCCTTACAAGAGACAGGCTGTGTGTACAGAAACATTGGGCCACAACTCATCAGGTCTACCCTGTCTGCTCTGCCAGTGACAGGCTCCTGGGAATGCTGGCTGGGTGCCAGGTTGCTGCTGCCCTGGTCAGCTCTGCAGAACAGCCAATCCTACCAGGACAGATGCTCCTCCAGCAGCGCAGCTTGCTGCTCTTAGCCCTTCATGCCCCAGCACTCCAGTTCCAAAGCTTTTCTATCAGCTCTGCTCCTCTTCCTTCTTTTTGTACGGATATCAATGGGACAGCAAAAACCAGCTGAGAAGCCTTAAAGTGGCTCTGCAGCTTGTTGTGATGAGGCTTTTCAGGCTTCCTAGCAGCCAGTAAACACTGTCTGCAAAGTGACTGTCAGAACAGAGTGATCCTTCACCCTCGAGTCAATGCAGAGTTATAGCTTTATAGTGACCAGGGTGTAAAGTGGATATGAGGGTGTCTCTACTTGTCAAGCAGCCAGGCTCTGGCTCAGCAAAGATATAAGTGAGCACAGTCCACTAGAAGACAGGTAATTGTGGTTAGAAAATGCTGGCCCTAGACTGATAAGCTCTGCTGTGATGCAGGGATATATTTACTCTGGAAGGAAGCAATTCTGCTGCATAGTCATTACTTCTGGCCAGGTCAGAGTGGGAGTAAATTGAATTTGTGAAGGACTATGTACAAACACCTGTAGCTTTATAGTATTCCCAAAGCTAGGAGAATAACTTAACTTTTTATCCAGTCTATGTGTGTGAAAATGAAGGCAAAAGGTTTGGCATGCTTGGAGGACTGCTTGTGGAAAAAGGACCCCATTTACCACAAACATCCATGTTAAGTAGTCATTTCCCTCCATAGGGATGGTAGCAGAGATACTGTGATGTAGAAAAAAGTCACACCACAATGTGTGGGACAATGCTGAACTCATTAGCATCTCACTTGATTGAGGGGTGCTTTGGGTGCTGGAAAAAGCACAATTCAATCCTGATAACTCTCTTCAGTACTGCATGCATGTGACTGTCTGGAGCCATCATTATGTCTTAACTAGCAAGTCAAAGTCTAGTCACACAAAATATTTTTCGCACACAGAAGACACATTACCTTTAAGCTGCCAATCACGCCACCCACCAGCAGATATAATGGAATTAGTGGCTGAACTGGGCAATCTTCCAAAAACTTCATTCCTGAACAGCAGAAATGAATGTTTGTTATCTCAAGTGATCAAATAGCGCAACAAGCTGTACAGTGCAAACTATAGATGCTGTTAGTGAAGTGTAGTGCTTACACCCAAGACTTGTGTCCAGCGTCTGTTGAAATGGGGTCTGAATTAAAGGGGGTTTGCATCTCCCACTACAGGAGTGAGGCCCATGAACAAGCAAAAGGCAGCAGAAGGAGGAAGGAGAGCAAAGGTAACAACAGCATTACTGTTGTTCTGGCATTACTGATTGGAGCCATGTATAGAGGTCATTTAGCCTCTGCTGTTTGTTAAATGAACCATTGACTGAGCTGGACAGGAAATTTTCATCAGTAGTAGAAAATTCACTGAAAATGAAAACTATGAATATAAGGAATTTTAATAAACTTCTCCCAGGATTTTTCTGCTCATTAGCTCACAGGGGTGTGGCATGTTCCTGAGTGAGATGCCTCGGAGCTTGGGAGCCAGTGCCTGTGGGAGCACCTGGAAGCATTTTAGCTTCCCAGGCAGCTGATAGGCAACTGCAGAAGCTCAAGTTTTCAGGCTGTTTGGGTTGCTGGAGGATAAAAGCATTGGTTGTTATGGAGGTGGGGATCCTGGCAACCCTCAGATCTGCTGCTAGAAAGAGATATTTGGATAAGTTTTAGAGGAGGGAGTGTATGGCTGTATAAGGATGTTGCTGGCAGTAGAGACTGAAGCTTGTGATACAGGTCTGTGGCAGGGAAACTCATCTGTCCAAATATAGATGTCTGCAATGCAGGCATCCATATGTGAACTAGTTTCCTAGACTCTGTAGTCAATAGGGAGAAATAGATACTTGTAAAATTCAATTCATTTATCCTGAGATAGGCGTTTGAAGCGGGTCAGGTGAGATGGGCCCTGAAAGTTCCTCTGTCTTTCCATGGCTATACAAGGAATCTAGACAGCCAGCTGTAGGTATCTAAAGTTAGCTGGGATGAATCCCCCTGCCCAAGTCACTTACCCAGGGGCATCTTTAGAAATTTTAAACTGTTCATTACACTATAATTTTATTGTTATTGTTCCCATATTTCAGGGCTTAGACTGATCAGTTGCAGAGGGCAGAAAGGATTTTCTGTTTTCTTCTTGCTGTATAAGTAATTTTCAAGGAGATATTTTGACCTTCCTCTGAATAATTGGGGTTATCTAAGTGCAGGATACTGAAAGCAATGTGCTGGTCTTAGTGCAAAACACCTCTCATGGAGAAGGTCTTGCCTCCATTTTCAGAACCACACTGAACAGGAGAAATCAGGAAAGAGGTACCAGTGTGTTTTGGTTTTGCTTGTTTTGCTGGGGGGGGGGGGGGTGCCCCTTTCTATAGCTGTAATCCTCTTCAGCTTGTCAATTTGCCCAACAAATCCACTGGTATTGCTGGTCCAGAACATTGCTGATGTCCTGAACCTCTCCTGTGCTCTTTGCATTGCATAATACAAGCGTTCTGGATTGTGGTTGCTTGCTGTAGATCTGTATTAGTCATAGGACACAGTGTTTTGTGTCTGCTCTGTGTAAGGGCTGTGGAGTCCAGTGGAATCTTCCATACTAAGTATTTATTACTAGCCTTCTCATAATTGAAAATGGCTGGACTTAGATGGATTTGGACTCTTTCCCTTTTTGTCCCTATTGAAAGGCTGTAATTTTTGGTCCATTTTGCCACTATGTAATGTTAAGACCTGCTTAGACTCCCAGCTCTACAGGGGTGAGTGGCAGGGAAATTGTCACAAATATATCATTTTCAGAAAACCGCTGTCAGGGTTTTCGGAGTCCTTGGACCTGTAATAGCCTGCCACAAAAGCAGCTGGCCAGGGATAACTGGGAGTATATTTCAGTTTAGGAACCTAGGCAATTTCTATTTCTAGTGTGTTACTGAGATTCTGATTGAAGGGGAAAAAAAATCAAGAAAAAAAACCTTTTTTTTTTCCCTCATAGTGCTATGATTCTCTTTCCCAGACAAATCTATTATGGAGTCCTTTCATATTGGTAACATGACAGGAGTCAGTCTTGGGAAGGAGTTGAATGACAGGCAGTGGCACACTGTAGGTTATGGGAGAATACTGCAGACAGATCTGACAGCAAAAGAGTAGGTCAAAGCGGGTAATACAGTAGTAACTTTAAAAATACACCCTAAGGTGTGAATAGGAAATACGGACCTACAGTTGACAGATGGGCACTGGTATTTTTTACAGTGAAATCAGTGAATGTGCCAATCATTTCTCACCCCGCACGTGTTTGATTTATCTGGAAACACCAAAACTAGTAGGAAAGCATCTTCTTTCCCAGGAGCACCACCTAAAAACACTTCAGTAGGATTCAGGATGCAAAGTCCAGCAAGTGGAAAGAGCACTTGTGAGAAAACAGGATATGAGCACTTTAAGGACACTATTTTGGGCGGTGTTGTGGCGTGGCCCACAATGGATCACTATTAGCCGAATTAATACACTGGGATCCTGGTGTTGCATGGGTTTTATCTCAAAGGAATTGCTTTTGGGTACTGTTTTATCAGTAAGCATATCAGCAAATCAGAAGAAACTCACAGAAATGATGAGTAGCTGAAGGACTGAAATGTAAGGAGAGTTTGTGTTAACAACTGGTAAAGCACAAGACTGGTGCCCACGTAAAGGGACAGAGTATGAGAACAGGCTTCAGACAACTACTGGGAGCATTTGAGAGTTGAGGAATTATTTAGTGTAGATATGAGTGTAAGGAGTATTAGTTGGTTAGAATTGTACAGGGGGAAATTTAGACTGCTTATTGAGAAAACAACATTGTCAGCTTTCAAATGTGATTTAGCTACCATTGGGGAATCTGTGTATAAAGGTATTCTGGAAAACACAAGAATGTGTTATTGGGAGCAACCCTTTACTGTCTCAGAAATGAAAAAAAATCTCTATTTTTGGAGTGTTTAGTGAAAAAAGCAATCATCTCGTCTACCACTAAGAGTTAGAAAGCTGCTAAACAATCTGTGGCTTAAATGATGTCACAAGTCTGGAAAATTTGCTGAGTTCCTTTTTATATATCTTGAATTATACTGTGATTTACAGTATTATCAAATTTTAAGAGTGTATAATGTTAGTGTGCAATTATTACCAGAGCTGCCAGTCATTACTTTCTGAGTTTTAGCTAATATTATATCTCAGTTTTCTTCTGCAGAAAGCAAGAGCCAAAATGAATGGATGCATATCAGCAAGTTATTCTCTGAGATCATGGTAACAGAATATTATCAGAAAAACAGATGATTTTTGCCTAGATAATAAATATCTGCATTTTCCTTGACATTTCATTTTCCTAAAAATGCTTTCGCAGATATGTAGCTGCAGGAAACCAATATTCTCTGACAACACTATTGCAGTGACATTATGTCTTAATTTCAGTAAGTGGTGAAAAAGAAAAAGGCTCTCTATCTGATGCAGGAGATACCCACAGCTCCAGGCTAATATCTTACCATACACTTTCCACTTCTCACTGAACTTAAAGATATTATGAAATATTCCTGAGAAATTATATTTATAAGTGGTCAGATTCCAGCCCTAGATTCATTTCCAGAAGTCTGTATGTCAATATGCATGAAAGCTGTGCCACATTTTGAATTATACCTTCCCACCCCTGTTTCACAGCTCAGACATATTCAGCCTGGGGAAAAGCTAAAGCTAAAATCCTCTTAAGGGATAAATAGCAATCTTAAGTCATGGATAAGCATAAGAGCCAAAGTGTTGGGATGTAACAGTTCTGTCCGTTTCCCTACTTCCTAATTGCTCCTTAATCCCTCATTAGAACTCCCTAATTCCTAATTAGGACATCCTAATCAGAATCCCATCGTAGTCATCACTGATACCTAGAAGGCCCCAGATAAAGGGAACAGCACCAACCTTAAGCTGAATGCTTTTTTTTGTGGGTTTGGCCAACTATACATGCCAACAGTTTAGGTGTCCTGACTGCCTTAAAAGTCACCTTGTCTCTATGCAGACATCTAAAAGGGTGCCGGACTCTCACTGTCAGGAGCGCCCATTTCTCTTAGTGGCCTGCAAGGACAGCACATGGCACTCAGCTTGGTTACTGATGTACATGTCCAAATCTAGGTGGGATGCATCTTGCCCACAGCATCTGCATGTAGAGTTTACTTGCACCGCCTTTCATGAATAATGAGGCAGAAGGTGAACAACTCCTCAAGGACACCCATCTGAAAGGATTGTAAGGGCTCTTGGGGACAGGACTTAGAATTCAAAGTGATCTGGATGTACTGGAAAAAGACATTCAAGATCTACAAGATGACAGTCGATAAAGCTGAACACTGCTTACAGGACAGTAAACTTCAGTGCAAATAAAAAATGAGAAATGTCTGATAGAGAACAGCACTGCCAAAAACCATCTGGGCTTACAACGCACCATAAACTAAATTGGTGCCAATGAGTTGGTGCAGGGAGAGCATCTTTCATTTTGAGGTGTGTTTACAGAAATCCTGCATATTAAACAGAGGAGCTAATTATTCTGCACTGATCATTCCTCAGGTCTCAGCTGGAGTCCTGTGTTCCGTCTTTCCTATTTTTTTTTTAATGGAAAAAAAATAGTTACATTGGCCAGAGGCCAAAGAAAGGAGGCAAAAATGAAAAAAAAAAAAAAAAAAACAGCAAACAACCAAAAAACCCAAAAACCTGTAGAAACAGTGACCTGTGAGGTCAGGATGAAAGAAACAGGTTTTTGAGACCTCTGGGGAAAAAAAAGAGAAGATAGAGAAGGATTATAATAGCAGCCTTCAAACAGTTCGAAGGTTCTTTTGAGTACAACAGGAACCAATCTGTCTTTGTGACTGCAGTGGGTAGGGCAGGCTGTAATCTGTTTAATTTGCCATAGGGAAGATTTAGGTTGGATATGGGGGAAAATATTTTGTCTGTGAGAGCAATAAAATGTTGAAATAGGCTCCTTGGGAAGCTGTGGAATTTCCTTGAGCAAGGGCAAGTCGGACATCTGTCAGGGATGCTGTGAGCATGTGAGCCTGTCTGAAAGTGTAGGTGGACTGGTGTCTCTACTGATGTTTCTAAAGTGGGGCTTGCAATCCATTGTGGGGGATGTGAAAGGCCCAAAGGGAGTCATGAAGTGTAAGAAAATAATCTATCAAAAAAACCTAAAAATCTACGTTAATGGTAAGGAAAAAGTGATGCTTAAGAAGAGAAGGACCTTGTGTAGTTTAAAAATGTATAAAATTCTGCAGCTCAAAGGATTTTCCTTTCTTAAATATTTGATCTTGAAATGCTACTCACAAATCCAGCCTTTGAGGAGTTATACAGAGACAGATCAGCCAAAAACCAGGTCTGACTTTCAAAAAGGTGGAGAAATAGCAGCCTAGAGCACCTCTTTTTCCCTTTCAACATTACGCTTCTAAGATTTTTGCAATGTGGTTAATACAGAGGGATCCTGATTAATGAAATCTTCTCATGTGTCAGACTCTGAACTTTCTCCCACAGACAGAACCCTGCTTTGAGGTAAGACACACTGGAGGGCTATTTGAGATAAACAGGTTCAAAATTTAAGTATTTCTTCCTCCCCAACATGCAGCGTAGGCTGGGATTCTGTCTGAAGCTAAAGTACTAACACACAGGTTTAACAGTTGGAAACTCTAAGTTTTCCAACTGCTTTCTTCCACCAGATGTGTTAACCTGCCATACAGTGCCAGGAAGTTTCTGTTTTCAAATTATGTGGTTTCTATTTTCAAATTTAGTAGCCAACTTACCTATAAAAGTCATGGACAGTGGTAACGCAAGGAAAGCGAGGAGCCCAAATATAAAGAATGCTGTGAATGAGAAAAGGAAGACAGTGTTATTTGAGCTGGTTCAAGTTTAGAGACCAGCATTTCCCTCCAGTTCTTTACAGATGCTCTTTATCCATGCAGTTGCGTAGCAAGAAATGCAGTGCACTCGATGGGATGGGAATATTGTCTCTGTGGTGCAGCATTTGAGATGATGGGACCAGTACGTGGTTTCTCACTCCCAGAGCGCAGTGAGAGACACAAACTGCTTTTGCAGCTACTACTTGTAGCTGTCTCATTGCAAGGACAAGGACTCAGGCACTGCTGCCTTAGCTTGCATCTGCTTCAGAGGCACTGCCAGGTGATTGTGCAGTAACGAATAAGTTTGCATCAGCTAATCCATGGCAACTGATGAGCTATATCCGTTTGCAAAGCAAATACCAGCTTTGATACCATTCCACTCAGTTTTCACTAATAGCTAAATAAACTGTCTTTATTGAAGATGTGAATAGTTTCTGGCTGGTCTAACTCCCTGACCCAGCTTGGTTCATGAACGCAAAGGCAGCAGCCCTGCTGCAAGGAGTGGGTCTTGTCATTGGGATAGATCAGCTTAAGCTGTGTGCAAGGATGCTCGTAGGGGTGCACACAGACTATTCCTGCAGAGGAATGGATCTGAGGTGCTTAGTTACTCCCCAGAGAGCTGCTGGTGTGTCTGAGCCCTGATATTTTCCCAGCACAGCCTGATGCTGCAGATGATCAATGCTCACCTTTGCAGAAAGCGAGAGACAATAGCATCAAGAACAGCATGAGCACTTGCACACAGCCTGTCTTACAAGAGTTGTCACCTCTGTGCCTAATCATGAACACTTGGCAATACAACGTGAAATGCTGCCCTGCAAAATGAGAGTAAAACAGAATGAGGACATTCTGTGGTAAGTGCCCCTGCAGAGCTCTTTTACAAATGGCTCAGTGTGCAAGTGGATGCCTAAGGACGCAGAAGGGCAGCTGAGCATAGATTGCAGAGGGGTTGAGAAGAGCACATACAAGAAAAAGGAGTAGGATGTCTCCTCAGAGGCTTGCGGAAAAAAGTCTTGAAGAAAGCATTCAGAGTTGGTTTGGGACCAGCCCTTCCCCAGGCAAACTGTGTCACGTGGTTCCCCATGCCAGAGAACTGCAACCTCTGCAAGGCGAATGGCATCTCCCTCACTGTGCAGGAGTGGGGACACTGCCAGCACCCTGCAGACAGTGCCGCTCTGGGAAACTGCAGCACTGCCAAAACATCACCCTCAGGCTGCCTTAGAGAAAAAAGGAAGCATCATAGCCTCCATTTTACAGAAGGAGAAACTGAGATAGAGGACATAAGAGCAGTATCAAAATTCAGGGCAGATCCACCAGGCTTTCTGACTCGCAGACAGTTTTCATGGGAACAAACCATCCCCCACACACTGCTCATGTTTTCTCTGCAGGGAATGAAGATCTTACACTTCAGTGCTTGAGAGACACCTTTCTCAGAAGTAGCATGTTTGTTATCTCTATGAATTGGTAGACACTGAAGGTACTTTCAGCTGAAGAAAGCACTTCTGTTCCTTTGTGCAACCCCCTCTTCCTTTCCCTCTCAACCAGTCTCCCTCTCACACACACACACATTTTTGCTCAGGCTCTCCTATCTCTCGAATACTGCACAGTACAGAAATTCTTCCTCTGCTTGAATAGTGTCCTACACTTGACTAAGCTCTTTCAACTGCTGACAGCCTCTCATTAGAACAACTCAGCCTAGAGCCTCCCTTTTCACCACATGTCACATTTTTTGCTAGCTCCTTTTGCTGTTATATTTCTAGACTATTCTTTCATATTCAGAAGCAATGATACTGTAGCTGAGTGGGGCTTCCAACAACACCTGCAAATTGTGCCCACGGCCTGGGCAGTTCATTTGTCTGGCACCCAAAGGAGAGCACTTCAGGTCTGCAGGCATTGCATCGACAGCCTGGCGTCGCCAGAAGTCCTGTCACTGCAGCGCAGCTCTCGGAGCGACGTCACTCCTCTGCCTGCGGTTTCTTAGCTGCCTCCTGCTTCTGCCCTTGCTGCCTGGGAGGAGGAGGCATCGTGTAATTTCTTAATTGTGCAGCACGTGGTCTGACTGACCCCCGGGGAGGGACGCTGCTGTAAGCTATGTAAAAGGCTCAGGGAGCCCATGTATATGTGAGGCTGAGCATCTGGCACACAGGTGTCAGTGTTTGTTTGTGTCTAGCACCTACCCAATAGCTTGGTTTTGGAGGGGAGAAATGCGGGGTAGGGACCACTCACAGCTCAAGAGAAAAAGATAATGGTTCATTAATTCCCCTCCCAAAGCAGTCGCTGGGAATGTATTTACTCATTATCTCCCCATTCAGCTACAGTCTTTTAGGTCTCGAAATGGAGGGGCAGATGCATAGTCTGGGAAGGCTTCCAGATCCATGTTTAACAAAGTGAGACTCTTCAACAATTGCCTACACAACTGGCAGGGCTCCGCAGCCTCTCTCAGTGCTGCTACCAGCACTAAAGACTGTTTTCCCCTAAACGTGTGGGGTTTTCACAGAAATACTGCTCAGCTGGGACACACACTCTCTGCCTGGATTTGTCTGGGCTGTACTGCCCCGTTCTGGTTCAAAGACAAATTGCTCAAGAAAACAGTACTTGCTGCAGGTTAGCACAGCTCAGCAGAGAGAATGCTGCTGTCTAGGCATGTAGGTCTTATGACATTTTTATGTCAGTGACATCTCCTCGCAGGCTGGTCAGAGGAGCCCCTGGACCCATTTCTGGAAAAAGTGGCAAAAAAGTGCCAGTAGTCTCTAAAACACAACAGGGTGTGAGGGAAGTGTTTCCAGGCATGTCTCAGAAGGATATCTACTCTGTGAAGCTGGTGTCAGGGCCTCAGGCAGGAGGACCCACTGTTCTGTACCACCAGGCAGCTGGGGCTCTGGTGAAGTCCTGCTGTGGGAGCCATTTGTGAGCAATTCCTAATGTGCTGATAAATGGGCGAGGGGAGGAGCTCATATCTGGGATCACAACAGAGGAAGAGGAGAACGTGCATCTTGCGCATTCCTTGAAACCTGTGTCACAAAAATCAGATCAGTAGGTGCAGATTTTGGGTCCTGCCCAGCAGGATTGTCAGCTTATATAAATCTGCTGTTTAGCTGAACTACTCCTGCCAGGGTCTTCCCACAGAAGTAAAGGCACTTGAAATCACTGTTAACATTATGGCTGTACTTCATGGTCTCTCTTCTATCTGACGCCTGAGCCTTTGCATCTTCCACAGCCATGCCCCTGCACTGCAGCTCTCCGCCCTGCCCCCTGCTACTCCCTTGTTTTCTATCCCCAGTTACTACGTGCCTGGCCTCGGCACACAGCCTGTTGCCTTCTGGAGGCAGTATTGCCTGTGACACCAATTCATCTCTGGGCTCCTCAGACTTTGTTTTGCTGCCATGAGTTTTCCAAGCACTTGGAAGTTTCAGGTCAGCTCAAGCTGTCCCTATTTACTTTGAAGATAGAGAAAAGTTTCTTTCTTTTTGGGTAAGAATAGTCTTCACATGGTTTTCAGAAGCGAATTATGAATATAAATCTCTATCTACCTACTCTTCTTAGGTAGTATGCTAATACAGCTGTTGTGCAAGCTGCTCAGTAGAGTGTGTGACAAGCTCTCTGATAATAAATACAGCAATAAATGAAGTGTTGGTTACATTACCATCACTCCCAAATGCCATTTGTTCTGTAGCCTGTCAGGTTCCTGATAAAAAAGCATTTCTTTTTTTTTTAGTGATGTGCTACCAGCTTCCAAACAAATTCTGTGGTTACCCTGGGATTTATCTGCATGAGCAAAACTCTGGGTGTAAACTCACAGAATGCCCTTCGGACATGCTGTGGAAACACTGCTCTGGAGGGGGCTGACTCTCAGCAGTCTGGATGTTAGCAAATTTGGGTCAGTTGCCAGGGCCCCTGGCCTGATGATGCCCTGAGGCAGATGCAGGTGGTAGCGCACTAACTTAGCAAGCAGTGTCACAGTGTGCTGTGCTGCAGCATGCACAGTATAACAGGCTGCAGTGCAGATGGGTAGCAAGCATTTTCACCCACGTTTTAGTCCTTCACAGTATCTGTAGGCATCGCCTGCAGTACTGACAGGGATCTGGAGGAAAGAAGGAATGCAGCATGTTGGGGTGCTGGGGTGGCAAAGAAAGTCTCGATGGATCTTTCTGGGGAACCAGCTCGAACAGGGTCATATGTTTTACAAAACAGGAATATGTCTGCCCATGGTTTTGGTAGCTGTGGATGCTGGCTGTCTTTCTCTGCTTTTAAGTGACAGGAAAATGTCATTATCTCAGATGGGATATGCAGAAAATGCTTGAACAAAATAATGTGAAGGAAAAGAATTAAATCTGTTGATCTTGGCCAACCAACAGCCAAAAGAGAGAAAATAATAGCAGGGTTTGAGCACTCAAAACCAGACCTATAAGTGATCCGAAGTATAGAGACATGAGATGAACTTGAGCAGAAACAAAGATTGTTTTGTTCATTAGTCTAAATGCCATAGCAAGGAGACATATTGATGGCATAGTCACCTGGGACAAATGGCTTGAATCCCATCCCTGGGGTGATTTAATCCCGTGACCAAACTAGATATTCAGCAGCTGGAGGATTCAGTGCAAGGAGCAGCCATTGCAATGAAGGTCTCTAGTCCCAGTGCAAAGCTACCATATGAAGCAGAGGAAGAGTGAAAAACCTGACTTGCAGACCAAAATCAGGCTCAGGGCCCTCTGCTGCGTCCCATCACTGTTTGCTTAGACAAGGTTGTCTTACTATGAAACAGTAAACTTTGTCACCAAGATAAACTGTGCCACCATAACATCACCTAAAATTTATGTTCTAGGTTCCAGCACTGACAACAGCAATGCTGCTCCCATCAGAAAGGGTGTTGAATAACAAGATGCCCATAATATGGGAACCTTCAGGAGGGGGAGGATATAGATGTAAATGCAGATGTAAATGTAGACGTAGGTGTAGATATACCTCTAGATGTAGGTGTGGTGCTGTGGGGGTTGGGCAATATTGCAGAGTGTCTTGTCTGCATTTTATATTATGCCTCTAGCTGCTAAACTACAGTTATACCATGGTCTAGGTTCTGGATTTGGCCTTTTCTGATTAATTTCCAGATGTACAAAATAAAATAAGATTTTGGCTTTACATATGGAGCCACCAGTTTGCTTTGCAGTAGACCTAGGGTAGTGGATTAGCCTTCTTTTTTTTTGGCCAGTTAATCAAAGACTGCCCTAATGTTCTGAATTTAAATTGCTACATCAAGAACGCAAAGATGCTCTACAGGTGGGTTTACTCTTCAGAGTTATTTAAATATCAAGAGATCATAGGTACAAATATGGGGTTGTGGTGAAACGCTCTTTGAAAAATATACACAGAATGATGAGAAAAAGTGAAATTAAGTGTCACTGCACTTCGTGAGGGTTTGTATTTTAATGAACAGAAAATCAATTGTGGATGCACTAGCTGATCCATAGCTATAGATGAGCTGATTTCAAACTTATATGTGATGAAAACCTGAAGATAATTTTCTGAAATGGTATTTATGAGCTGCCATACTCATGGGTAACTTTTTGGGTACCTGAGAGGGTTCCTCTGGTATAGAAGAACATAGGTGAGATCAGGACTAATCCCTATCTTTCAAAAAATCATCAGAAGGATTAATTATTTTCTCTGTCATCATTAAAATCCCAGTGGTAATTTAATACAGGGAACAATGGCACTTTGCTTGTAATCACAGGAACAAAAATCAGAGAAAATACCACTTTTGACTTTTTTAACTGTGATGTTCACCAATGGGTCCAGATCCCCCTTGCTTGTCCTTTCTGCAGGGTGCAAGGGATCCCACACCAGCTGGGTCCCAGTTCTGCTCCCAGGGGTTTGTCAGGGTGTAACAAGAGCACCATGTGCTCCACTCCCCTCATTGTTCATCAGTCCCTAGCCCTCCTTTCCCCTGGGGCAATGATCAGCATGAACGAGTGGGCCAGAAAATGCCCTCTCCTTTACTACCTATGCCAGGTTTCTGCAGGGGAGCCTGGTTTGAGCTATCTGTCCACTTGACCTGATTTTCTCTGCAGGGTTGTAAGGCAGCAAGGAGTTAAGGGCCTTAATCAAAGTTAGAATGAACTTCGAGAGCCTTTCAAGCAAAGCAAAAAGCAGGAATATAGAAGACTCCAAGGTAACACCTACACTGGTAAATGCAGCACTTAGTCTGGGCAAAGTATCAATTATCATGAGTGGTCAAGGAGTTTGCTTCTTCTCATATTTGAGTGGAATTAGAAATTGCTATTGCCTAGAAGTGAAAGCAAAAGGCACTTGAAACTCAGAATGAAAAGGAGATGCAGTCAGTGGGAGTAAGCTGCTTTAAAACCCTTGAATTTTAACCTCCTGCCAACAACACTTCTTCCCTGGCCTTACAAAAGCCCGCCCCAGCAGTGCATTTCTCCTGTGACTCTGCAGCTTGCACAGCCCCAGCCCAGGTCAACTTTCTGCTGCGTTTTTCCTCAGAGAGCAAGAACCAGCCTGTTCACTCAGTCTGGGAGCTGTGGTGTCATTACAGCCCTCTGCACCCTCCACCCTGGGTGGGAAGAACCAGTTGCTTTAAAACCTGAGTGAGCCCAGCCTGTCATGTGAAAGTCCCCTATACAGATAACTGATGCTTCCAACCCACAACATGCTGACAACCCACAGCGTGTGGCTCCTTATGGGGGTTACCTGTGCCTACAGTGGCCGCTGTGCCAGGGACCAGACAAGCAGAGGGAAGATGACTCTCTCCCAAATGTCACTGGGTGAAAGGGGGGCTGGCTGTTCCTGACCATACTCTGTCCCCAGCCTCGTGTCACTGTGTCAGCACAGACACTGGCAGCAGTTTTGCTTTGAGGAATTGCTCCTGGGAGAGTTTGTCCCCAGGCTGGCTGTGCTGCTCTTTTCCGGGTGGTTTTCCCTGCAGATACTTCTTCTGGGCTATGTGTAAGGTAACACATGAAATAGAAGGCAAACACATTATATTGCTTAGGTATATTGCTGTCTGCTGCAGCCCATATAAGGTACATGGTGGTGTTTGTATTTGTTTGAAATTTTATGCGGGTCTGCTGTACTTCAAATACTGCAGCAGGCAGCTGCTGTTGGGATAGAGTTACTATTGCTCACTCTACCAGCACCCAAAATTACCTAGGAAAGGAAATACCTCAGAAAGGAGAAAAGAAGAGGAAACTACATTGGAAGATTCAGATGAGGCTTGGTACCATATTAATTCTTTTATGTACATGGCTTAGCAACAGGGCTGCTTAAATACAGAAGGCTCTTACTCCCAGAACTGCCTTACCATTGCTGGCAATTTTGGATATGCACCGGTGGCAGGCTTTCTCCAGGCCAGCAGTCATCGTGATGAACCTTTTGGGGTGTCTGTGGAAACAGAGAAATTAATATGGTTATAAGAAGTGTCTTTACCTTACTTAGTTTCTTGACTCAGAGTACTCACACACCTTGGCAGGCTTTCACTACCCTCAAAAACTCAAAGCATCCAGAAATGCAGACAGCAGCCATCAGTGTAGCATACCCAGAGGTAGGTAGGTATGCCTTCCAGCAGTTCTGGGCTTGCCTGCTCCTGATGATGCCATAGCTCTGGGGTCACAGGGTTGCTGGGGGAGAAGTAAGTATTGATGCTATGAAGTATGAAAGGTTCTGTCTCAACTTTAATTGGAGTTGGGGCAGAACAAACTGTATTTAACTGCTATGAAAAAACCCAGTGAAATGGGTACAGTTCACTACACAAACCTCAGCAAAAATTAATTAGTGAGAAAAAATGAATTGAAGAAAAAAGAAAGAGAGAGGATGAAAACAGTTTTAAGATCAAGGAAGATTCTGAAGAGGAATATAGAATGAAAACTGCAAACCACATGGAGCTGAGAACAACATGCCTTTGATTAAAAAGTAGCTGGACTAGAAAGGAGCTCCTTGAAGAGAAGAATTTTTACGAGGTGAGGTGAGGGATGAGCAAGCAGCTAGGCATCTGAGGCTGGTTGTCAGACAGCACCAGACAGTTAAATAGCATCCAATGTCAATGGAAATGTGGAAAGCTCTCTCTGTCTCTCTCTCACACACACACACACACACACACTGCAAGCCTCAGCCTCTGGCCAGGATCACCACAAGTCTGCCACCAACAGCAGCTGTGTGATAGAAGAAGGCGTGTGTAGAGGAGGCTGGGAGGGGGAAGCTGCATTTCTGCACATACCTCAGAATAGCCTCTTCAGATTTCCTAATGGTTAAGGAGCAACATTTTAAGCTTTCTATTCTGAGCTGACATGAAACCCACCCTGGGGATTTCTCATGTAATGCTGGGCACAGCCTGGCCCAGAGCCTACTAGAGAGAACAGGACCCCAGGCACGTGTTGAAGATAAAGACAGGGTTGCCTTACCAGCTAATATGTGGCCATACCCCTCTCCAAAGTCTGTCCAAGCCCTCCTAGTCATGACTCAGCAAAACTGTCTGTGTCCTGTGAGCCTGCTTCCTCCTGCAAGCCCAGAGAGCAGCATAAGACCCTCTGCTGCCATGGGGAAGGGGATGGGGTTTGCTCCTTGCACAGTGGCATTACAGTTTGTATTTCCTGGCAGTAACAGAGGCAGGTCTGGCTTTACCTGTTAGCGACCAAGCAAGTAGTAGAGGCTGAGGCTTTCACAGACATCCCACTGGCTCAATAACCCTCACACATAGCAACCAGCCACCAACATATATATCTCCAGGTTTCTAGTATGCATTATCTCATCAGGTGTCTCATGAATTTTAGCTCTCCTTCTCCAGCCCTCATCTTCATACTGTGTCACAAGCCTCATTAGTTACGTGTTACTGCTGTAATAAGCCTTGCAAATCCCAGAGGACATCTCAATCAGTATGGTGGACTGGAATGGAAATTACATGAGTGCCTGATCTGTTGGGGCAACATGCTTCTCATACTGGCCACCAAACCTTCTTCAGTAGAGCAAATACTGTGCCTTTGGACTGCAACTATTGCTGAGTATTTCAAGGAAAGAAATAAGCACTGTTGCATGCTCAGGGAAAGCAGGAAGGAGGGAGGGAAACTGGTAGGTTTAAGCTTCAAAATCTTTGGGGCAGATTTTGTTCCTAGAAAGTGCATAATAAAATGGGCATTTATTTTGAGTGTGCCAGTGACTGCCAACTAAGAAGTTCTAAATTATGTAGAGATCAGGAATATTAGTCTTTTTATAAGTGTTTATGATTAGAATTACTTTTATTGCAATAATTCTTCAGAAATCATGTTAACCAAAGCAATGCTGTATTAAAAATCAGTTGAATATGAAATTATCTTGACCAGAACTGTGTGTGGCTGGGAATGCTGTATTTCCACAGGCAAAGGCTAAAACATGTTTGGTCTTTACTTACTGCAATTTTACACCAGAAGAAAAATGACAAACTGAAGGAGGATTCAGTATCTGGAAGCATATCACCATCTAGCGATGGAGCCCAGAAGTGACTGCGAATCAGAGCTCTGTGTGTGCAGCTTTAACAGGTGAGATAAAGAAAGCAAATTCATAATGGCTACACGCAAAACATGTTCACACAAGGACACAACACACTTAACTCCCAGGTCATGATTTCAATCCTTCCTCAGACATTGGCTTTGTCTCCTACAGGACTGAGAAATCCCTCAGAGAATTCATTATATGTGCTGCATAAATAGGTGTTCCCCTCTACACCAGACCTTCAGTGATTCTGCAGAAGCTGCTGTGGGTGTTACAGACAAATATTTTCCTGTGTGCCAATTCATGAGGGTGCTAAAGTGCAATTCAACATCCAGGCAGATGCAGAACAGTTTTGTTTACCATCTGAAATAGGGAAACCATCACTGAAACTCACAGGAGACTGCAAGTGGTACAATATGAAGACTGATGGCATGCAAAGGTAGGGGGGTGTCTTGCCCCACTGTGAGTACTCCCAGTTTACTAATGAGTTGGGAAGGTCACAAAACAGAAACCTCAGCTACAACTAGGAAAAATTTAAAGACCAAAGCCAACTTCTGGATCTCCTCCCATCATCCTTCCCTGGACTTCCCTGGATTCGTTTCCCTAAGCTAAAGGGACCTGCTCTTGTGTTAGAAGGGTCAGCCACTGATGGGGGCAAGCTTCTGAGCCCCTTGCAGGATGCTAGAACCTCTCCATATAGCTGCTTTCCTGGGTGACAGGTTGCAACTGAGCCACAGCAGAGCCACAGCATCCCAGTGCCTCCTTCATGCTTTCCAGTACCTCCTCACTGAGTGCCCTCCCCACTGCTAGTCAGTGGCTAGATTTGCCCACCTGGCACATGGGCTGTGTCCCACACTGGCACCTCTTGTAACTCACTTCCATGTCCCTGACAAGCAGTGGTGATAAATCTCTGTAGCACAGATCCTCTATCCTGTTTCCTTTGTTATTTCGACCAGTTTTAGCTTTAAACTATTTTTCTGATTATTATTCTCATCCTGAGTGTTTAGGTAATACAAGTCAAAAGAAGATGAGCACTGACTGGACTGGTGCACCCCCGAGCCTGCAGCAAAGCCAAAAGCAACTTCATGCTGGTCCCACTGTATGTCAGCCCAAACAAGAGCCACCTTCACACTTGTCCTGTGGTGTTTATACTTCTCAAATTGAGCCCTGCCCTCTCCCATCTGCAGGTGCCTCGCTCTGTGCTGATGGACACATCAGCCAGAGTTTCTGGGACTTCCTAAGACCCAGTTTCCCACTCGATGGCTCCCGACTGCCACAGAGTCCCTGCTGGGACACAGAAGGTGCCCGTGGGCCAGTAAACCCCTCCAGAACAAGGTGTCTTCTCTAAGTACTGCTAGAGGTAATGGTTTCTTTTTGTTTGTCTAAAATATTCAGTGCAAAGTCCTCTTTCAGAGCCAGTTTCCTAATGAACCTCAAAGCCCCACACTGGCTTTTATGCCAGCACATCGTCCACTTCCCAGCAAACCCCTCTTACCTGAGAGTGCTGTGGGTACCAATCCGTTCACCTGTGCATGAGGAGACCAGTCAGAAGAACAGCAAAATCCTTCAGTGAAAGCCTGCTGGGAGAGTCCTCTCCGGTGGGACCTCAGAGCTGTGCTCAGCCTCCTGGGACCCTGCCTGTGGAGGTACAGGGGGACTTAATGGCTTTTATTCCTCCTGGCTGTCGCTCTCACAGCTCTCCACAGCAGCACCGTGGGAGCTGTGGGATGCAGGAGTGCTTGCTGGCAGAGCCCATCCTCATTAGTTTTCCCACTCCCACAGCTGGCTGGAGCCACAGCCCACCCTGTGCCTTTTTAGGGTGACAGCAGGGGGAAGCAAAGGGCCCCACACAGCTGTGACTGTACTGGAGGAAAAAAAAAAAAAAGACATTTCTTTCACTAAGTCTTTTATTTTGGGGGGGGGCAGAAATTACGTTTATTCACATATCAGTATTGAGCAGTAAGTACTTAGTTCATTCTTCCTGCAATTCGCCCACTTCCTTGTTGATGCAGATGACAGAGCTCTTGGCAAACATATATTGCCTTACTGTTGGCTGGTTTATATGCCTTGTGTCACACTAGCAGAGGTGCATTCCTTAGGTGGCTACTTGCTAGGTCACCTTCCCATGAGCAGGTGACAATTTGGTATCTCCAGTCTAATTATAGGTATTTTTAATTTTCTGGAAAGCCCTCGTTTCGGTACCAGGAAAAGTGGGTTTGAGGGAGAGCACCTCTGTCAGAGGAGTGACAACATTAATAAAGATTGATGTGTATTTTTAATCCTTTCGGAAAGGCTCCACGAGAAAGAAAAGGTTACCTGCTGCATTAGTCATTGGCAAGGAGCTGGCAAAGTGCCTGCTCTGGCTCAGGAGGAACAATTCTGCCTTCAGCTGTCAGGTTTGCACAGTTTATCATCAGTATAACTCCCAGCGCTGAAGATTTTGCATTAAGAAAAGGGCATTCACACTGGGGTCAGCCAAGGGAAGGAAAATGATGGTGTTTGAAGGCTAACTTTGCTTGCTGCTGGGTCAGCATGTGCACAAACACAAGCACATGCTGGTTCTTATACTCTCCATGCTTATTCCTGCTGCATGGTCTCATGTGCTGGAAAAAGCACTGACCGCATGGTGATGTGACTGCCTGATTGCCACAGCCTCAGGCAATCCATTACTTCATCCTCTGGATGCTCCTATTCTGAGCACAGGTAAGACTAGGGGGCAAAGAAGCTTCCAGCATGCCTGCCACACTGCCTGCCCCATGCCTGCTCAGCCCAAATTAAGGTTTCATATAAAATGTAGTGCAAGCAAACCCTTTGTTTTTCTGGTTTGTCTGTTTAGGTCACATATTTCACACACATTGTGAGGCCTTAGAGAGAGCTCTGTGGCTCAAGGAGACCCACTGCAGGTCATAGCACTGTGGAAAGACAACAAAATTATGTTATATCTTTTTGATAAAATGGTGAGAAATATCAGCACTGAAAGCAATGGAGGTCCAGCCTCCCAAAAAAAAGAGGTCCAGCCTCTCAAACCTACAGCTTGGCACTTCCATGAACTGTCAGCTCCATGTGAAGAGGTAGCAGCAACTCCTAGGAAGTGTTAGATGCAGGATGTAGGGGAGCAGCAAAAGCAGAATGAGGTACAATCCCAACTAGAGTTGATTCTGCAGCTATAAAGCAAGATAATTTCAGAGAGAAAAAGATGAATTTTGCTGGTGTGTCTTCAGATCCAAGGCTGAAAACCTGGAAAATTTTGGTTGATAAAGTTTTGCAGTACAGCAAAAAGTGAGAGTATGACCTTTTTTTTCAATTGCACTGAAGGAGGGGTTTATTTAAGCACTTAAAGAGGGGCCTCAGCTCCTCTGTATAGTCAATGAAGATAGAGAGGAGACACTTCTGGAAGACTGTGGTGCTCTCCACTGGTGCTGGAAGAGGCACATCAGGAACAGACTGAGACATACTGGCTGAGTGGCCGAACTGGACAGTTTGGCTTTCTGTGCTCCTAGTTCTTCTTTCTCGCAGTGTAACAAAGCTCTTTCTTCCATCTGAGAAAGGTGCTCTTCCCGTGGTTGTTCCCAGGCCAGCACCTGACATGAGACATCAACTAGGATTTCAGTCATTTCCAATATCACTACCCTCTTTTGGTGTGATTTTTCTCACCCTCCACGATACTCTGAGGTAAGTGTTGGGTTGCCTGTGCCTGATGAGGTGATGCCACAGGCTCATGCATTCTAAGCCATGGCCTTCCAGTTAGTGTCTGCAACACTGCCACTGAAAGCACAAGCCAGAACATGCTCTCCTCAAACACAGCCCCCTCTCAGACCAGAAGGGACTTCTACATCCCACCATAAAATGTGTTTGGGATTCTTTCACCAGGTGCCTTTTTGGAAGCTGTTGTGCTTCATCATGGATTTTTCTGGCTACTTAATGGTTAGTGTGAAGAGGGAAAGAGCCATGTAGAGATGCTGTATTTCCTATCCAGTTTGTGTTTATTTTCAGTTGATTTTTACCCCTCCATATAGGATGAGCACTTTTGCCACAGAGCCTTCTCCTAACTTGATGACTCAAAAGTCAAAATCAACATAAAAATAGTCTGCCATTTTCTACATTGTTTTGTTCTTTTTGAGTTGGAAGAGCTTGACTGTTTTCTTAAATGCTGCATGTAATCAGGAATATTATATTTTCTTTTAAAAGTTGTCCTTGTGTATTGAAATATAAACAGCCCATGGGAAAGGAATTCAGTGTGTATTTCATTTCTTCCATTGTTCAAGGCAAAAAATGTGTACTTATCTGCTGAGAAATACTCTGCTTGTGCAGCAGAAACCAATCATCAATACCAACTTACCAGCATTTTAATGACTGCCTGTAGGAATCCCAGAAATTATAACATTCAATCATCACAAGAAGATCATGGCAAAAAATAACAGGGACCAAGAGTTCCTGTGGCAAGTGCAGACAGTGTTGACAGTGACACTTTAAACTACTATTAAACTTCATGATTCTGGTGTTTCTGAAGGAAATTTTTAGGCAGCTTAGGAAGATACTGGGACTAGAATGCTATCAGTGCAGTGCCACTGTGTGCCCAGTCAAAATTCCCCTGGGCTCTGAGAGCCATGAGATTAACATCTCCATCCCTTGGACTGATCTGAAAGCTGCAGAGCCCAGTGCAGGGCAGATGCTGTGAAATACTTTGGCCTGCCAACACACAGAAGTTCAGACCAGGTGCTTTACTCTCACATGCATCACTGAGAAGATGTTTTGTGTGGCTGTCACAATAAAGTAGAGAGCCAGGTGAATCCTGCTGTTGTGGATGTTTTGGTTCTTTGGTTTCTTCCCACAAGACTGTGTTGGGGAGGGATGTTTATGTGCCAGCCTCCATTGCAGTTTACTTGGCAATGCTCAAGAGGTAAGATAGAAAATGATAAAATATTAGACTGTCTGCTTCATGCTTCTCCTTACTCAGGATAATCTATCACAATGTAATCAAGGCCTAAGGAATAGAGAGACAAAAGGCAAAATGTGCTGGATAACCTATGGGGAGAGTAACTTTATTAAAGTCTAATACAGGATAAGTGCTCATGGTGCAGCTTTCACTCAGTCAGGTTATTTAGAGGGTCTAATTTTCTACTTCAAATATTCATCACACATGCAGAATAGGATGAGATTTTCCTTGTTTCTGTAGGAAAGATTACCAGACACAAAGGCATCAGCTGTGGCTTGGGACACCTGTGAGCCTCCAGCCCCAGATGCTGGAGGATAATCCTGGAAAAGTAACTGGAGTTGTTCCCTGGGTCCATAGCCATTGTCCATCCAAGGCAGGGTAATGGGCCAGATGTCCTCACCTCATTTACTTGTACCTCTGAGTCTCCAATTACTCTATTAAATTCAGTCAAAATGAACAAATAGATACATAAGTTATTAGCGGTAACAACCAGACAGCAGAACCCAAAGCAACAAATACACATGACGTGTTTCCAGAGGAAGCCAGGCTAAAGCAAAACATGTGTTTGGAAAGTTACTAATGAAATTACTTCTTTAGGAATGTTTGATTGTTTCCTATGGGGGGAATAAAGGCTTTATTTAATTTTCTTAGTTTTCTTCAGAGATTGTCTTCCACTGTGTATTCAGGAGGCCAACCTGTGTGTTGTTCCTTGTAAAGAAAATTTTCCTTGAAATAATAAATACATTTCTTTTAAAAACCCCAGTCCTCTATTCCCCTGCTTACTCACCAAAGTAACAAAATGTCCAAATTATTGTGAGCAAAATTTACCCACAAGCCTAGAATATTAACTGAGAAATTCCAGTGCTCTTTAAACTTACAATAAGAGACAGTGGAATTACTAAAAGTATAAAAGCCAAAGCCCCCGCTGAGGTTCATGTATTCTTTGTTTATGCCACTACAGAGTGTGCTAGACAAATGCGTAGAGTTTGCAAAATCCTTTGGGAATCCCTGAAAAATTAAGTGGGGAGAAAAAAAGATTAGCTCCTCACACAAGGGCATAATAAAGCTACTGAACATTTCTGTCTTAATAGGGCTTCATGCTAGAGTATAGGGGAGAGTTACCTCGGCTGAATAAAATGCTAAACTCTCCTAGCAGCAAAATACCTCTTTTAATGTAACAGCAGGAATAAACCTCTCACTTATAAAATACAGTTGACAAAAAAGGCTAATAACTCACAAAGGTTTTACATACAATAGAAAAAAAAAGTCTGTAAAGTTACTATGTATGAAATATTATAATCTAAATCAGCAGTTTAATTTGCACTTCTGCATATCAGAGTTAATATTCCCATTGCATACAGCCATAATAAAAAGTGTTGTTTCATTAACCACAGAAGATAACAATGTGTGGTTTTATTTTTTTATTTCATTTTCTCACTCATAAAACATCCCTTTTGCCACCTGTCAGTGCATTTGTCCTCCTCATCTGAAGGGTAGTAAACCATACTTGACACAATATCTGTTCAACAGAATTGAAAATTTTAACCTTCAAAAAGAGAGGGCCACAATACCCTTCTACTTGTAGAAAACAGAACCATGTGTTTACGGTAGAGTAATTATGGTCCATGATAACAAGAAAAAGCAGGAATACCACAGAACAGTTAGGGGACCACAAATGAGTTAGGATGGAGTTCGGTGCAGTATCGACATGTGTGGAGTGAGCAGTCTTCATTGGAGTTGCCTGATTCTGTGATTTATAGGGGAAAAAAAAAAAAGAAAAAAAA